TCATCCCAACAATGGAGTGGTTCTATTTGTGTGGCACTGGGAGGAGGCTTCTGGGAAACTGGCTGCTGTCCTCAAGACACCCAGAAGATGGGGTCACAGGGCATCGTTTCCTTGGGGTCTGCTAAATTATTCTCTAACTCCTCTGTTCTTGGGATGGCTGGGTGTGTGTGTGTGTCTGTCTGTCTGTCTCTGTGTGTGTGTCTCTCTCTCTGTTTCTGTCTCAGTCTCTGTCTCTCCCTCTCTGTCTGTCTCTGTCTCTGCTCTCTCTTTGTCTCTCTGACTCTCTGTCTCTCTTTCTCTCTCTCTGTCTCTCTCTCTCTCTCTCTCTCTCTCTCTCTCTCTCTCTCTGCCTCTCAACTAAACTCCCCAGCTGCCTGACCCAGCAGGGTGGATCCTCTCTCACTCCCAAAGACAGAATTTGGTTAGTCTATAGTGTGGCTCAATAACTCTAAGACATGCAGTGGCCAGGAGATGCCTGGCTCTGCAGCAGCTTGGGGTTGAGGGCATCTGCCCAATGCTCTAACCCTGGGATGGTGAATGAAAAGTTTATTATCACCAGCTCCAAATTCTAAGATTTGGGGCCTTGGTAGGACCTTCTAGGATTTTGCCAAAGCTACAAGTTCCATAGAGTTCTGTATTATATCTTTTAAATTCTGATTTTATGCAGCAACTGTACTTTAAAGGATAAGGTAAGGTTGTTTTCCTTTTGGGTCAAGAAAAGTTGGAAGAGAGATAAAAATCTTAATGGGAAATGGGGCATGAGCTATATTTGGAGATGTTCCCAGAGCTTAACTCAGAGTTGGGGCAAATGAGCCAATTTGTGATAAATTTATGAAATACTGCATGGGAATGATTTTATATTTTAAACCATAGACTGAGCAGAGAAGAAGCTGGATCACAGCCATGTCGGGTGGCAATGGGGGGAAGAGTGCTCAGAAGATCAGCTGTCCTTCAGTGGGCCTTCCTGTGCTTCATCCCTCTGTGCCCATGTAGGGGCAGGAACCTCTGAATCTGGGGAAACCTTCTGGGCTACTGGGCTATCTGCCCAAGCAGCATCACCGCCTCCCAATAGGGAGTACCCCCCCTCCACATGTGCATAAGCAGCATAGACATATTTGATATCAATCAACCAGTGGCCAATGAATAAGCACCTACTATGTGCCAGGTGCTGTGCTAGGTGCTAAGGATAAAGACTAAAAGAAAACCTTTTCTTATCCTCAAGAAGCTTAATGTCTAGACAGGAAAGGAAACAACTTCTCTGTGTGTATACACATACATATATTTATATATGTATATGCATATACATGTGTTTGTGTATTTATAAAAAAAAAAAGGCTTGAAATAGGTACAAAGTAATTTGGGAAGTAGTGCAGAGTGCCAGGCCTGGAGTCAGGAAGACCTGAGTTCAAATATGGCCCCAGATACTTACTAGCTGTGTGACCCTGGGCAAGTCACTTAATCCTACTTGCTTCAGTTTCCTCCTCTGGAAAAAGCTGGAGAAAGAAATGGCAAACCACTCCAGTATCTTTGCCAAGAAAACCCCAAATCTGGTTACAAAGAATCAGACATGACTGAAATGACTGAACAATAATTTGGGAAGGAGACTCTAGCAGCTGGAAAAATCAAGAAAGGCTTCCTGTAGAAGGCAGCCCTTGACCTGAACTTTGAGGGAAATGAAGGATTCTAAAAGGTGGATAGAGGTGAGGAAGGGGAGTATCCCAAGCATAGGAGGAAAGCCAGTGCAAATGATGGAGATGGGAGCTAGAGATGTGTGTGACTCATAGTAAGAAGGTCAAGTTGGCTGGACTATTGAGTGTGTGAAAGGAAGTGATGATAAGGCTGGAAAAGGAGGTTGGGGCCAGATTTAAGCACCAAAAGGAGAGTTAGTGTTTGATCTCAGAGGTCGGGTCACTGGGTGGTGTGGCGGGGATCAAGATGGAAGAAGGTCAACAGCATGGTTAGACTGACGCTTTAGGAAGATCAGTTGGACAGTCACCTGGAGAATGGGCTGGAGTGAGTAGAGACTTGAGACAGAAAATGTAATTTATTTTTAGCAGTCATAGTTCACTTTAGTTGTTTATTAAAAACATCTATGTGGTTGCCACAGCAGCTGTTCTGGGTCCTCTGGACAGACACATGAGTGTGTCTTCACAAGATGGTCAGTGAATTCCTGATAGGGAGACTTAATGAACACAGTGTCCATCCACAGGTCTGGGGCTAGATGGCTGTATGTCTTGGAGATGGCATCAAAGGTAGCTTTAGCAAAGTTGCCCAGAGTGGCAGTACAGCCCCTCACAGAAGTGTAGCAGTTATCAGTTCCGGTCATTATCAGGGACTTTTTAGGCACAGGATCTGAGATGATGTCAGTCGCTCTAGGGGTGGGGATCAGGTGCAGCAGACCCTATCCACATCACCCAGTGACCTTGCAGGGCACTGTGTGAGGCTTGCCAATCGTGTTCCCCCAGTAGCCACATCCCACACAAATGACAGACAGGTTGGACAGCATGATAGCACCACAAATAGTTGTGGCCACTTCCTTGGAGCACTTGACACCCAGGCCAACATGGCCATTGTAGCCACTGATGGCCGCAAAAGCCATGAACCTGGTACATTGTCCAGCTCTAGTTTGCTTCTGAACAGGCATGATCTTCAGAACCTCATCTTTCAATGAAGGTCCCAGGAAGACATCTATGATCTCAGACTTCTTGATAGGAAGGGAGAAAAGATAGATCTCTTCCAAAGGCTTGATCTTCATGTCCTTGACTAACAAGCCCAGCTTAGTGACAGGAACCCACTCCTTATCTTCGGCCTTTCCTCCCTGAGCCCCGAGGCCTGAACTTCAGCCCCCAGTGCTGAAGCCATCACGGAAGCCAGCTTGGCCTCCAAGTCTGGGGCCCCCAGGGTCTCTCGCTGCTCCTGCAGCAGTGGTGTCATCGGCCATTTGGTATTCACTAGAAGTAGAAGCCAGAGAATCTAATTTAGAGGCTTCTGCCATAACCCAGGCCTGCGGTGATTAAAAACCTACACCAGGTAGGGGCAGTATCAAAAAAGACAAGGGGTGATATTGCAGAGATGTTGTGGAAACAGGGTTTGGACAGGACTGGTTATGCTGGAGTGAGAGAGAATGAGGACTAGAGAACAATACCAAGGTTGCAAGCTGGAGTGTCTGGAAGGTGGGAGCAGAAATGGGGAAGCTTGGAAGAGGGATGGATTGAGGAGGGAAATGTACCTGCGTTCCAAAATGTGGAACTAGGTCCCCAAATGTTACCAAGCTGTGCATGGCATTTGGTGCAGAAATACTACAATAGGCCCATACCACACGCAGATCAAAGAAAGAGGGAGAAGGCCCCTACATGCCGAGATATGCAGCAGCTCTGCTTGTGGTGGCAAAGAATGGCAGGCCCAGCAGATGTCCATCAACTGGGGGAATGTTCAGTTGAACAAGTCGTGGTACATAAACATGCTGTTGTGCTGTAATAAATGATGAAGAAAGGGACAGTTACAGAAAAGGCCTTGTAAGACTTGTATGAACTGATACAGAGGGAAGAAAACAGAAGCAGGAAAACAATTGATAATAATGACACCAACCTGGTAAAAATAAACAGCTTTGAAAGCTGAAAGAACTCTGATCAGTATAGTAACCTGCCATGACTTCAGAGAGCCCACGAAGAAAGAGGTGACCTGCTTCCTGCCAGAGAAGTGATGGATGCAGGGTGCAGAAGGAGACACTGATTTCTGGATGTGGCCAATGTGGCAATTGGTTTTGATTGACTATGTATATGTGTTAAGAAAAAAATTCCCATGAGAGGAGCGTGAAGAAGGAAAAAAATAATAAAATTTTTGTTCATTGAAAAAATTGAATAGGCAGCTAGGTGGCAAAGTGGATAGAGAGCTATACTTGGAGTCAGGAAGACCTGAATTCAAATTCAACCTCAGACATTGACTAACCATCATGATTCTTGGCAAGTCACTGCAGCACTGCTTGCCTCAGTTTCCTCACCTGTAAAATTGGGATAATAATAACGCCTACCTCCTGGGGTTGTTATAAAGCTCAAATGGGATAACATATGCAAATCACTTGACAAACCTTAAAGCCTATGCAAATGCAAGCTATTTTTGTACATAAATTTATTTTGAAATATAATGTATTTCAAAAATATAATAAAAATAAAAGTAAATAAATTGAATTTGAAAAAGAAAGAGCTGCATTCCTATGTGCAGTATAATTTACATAAATATCTGAAGATGCATCTCACTATATCTAAGCTTATTTTTCTTCTCTTGTTCCCTGTTCCTTATACCCTTGAGCCTTGGACTTGGGGGCAGGAAGCATTAACCTGAATAAAGTACTTTGCAGACTTGAAGATGTCATTACTAGGTAGCTGTTACTCGATCACACCAGGACAAGAGGAATGAATGTAAGCAAAGCACAGCCGTCACAAAATGCCACAGCAGTAGCTCACCGGCTCTGATGAAGCAGTAACCTGTGAAAGAAAACCCTGGCACAGATCACAGCTAGTGCAAATCACACAGGGGAAATGGGCATGATGTTACCTGCTCAGGGATCACCAGTCCCACTAGCACATAACAGCCCGACAAGGCTTTGAGTTTTTCATCCCTGACAACACTCAGCATTGGGGCAGGTTGGTGGTACCACAGGGCATAGAATTCTGGACCTGGAATCAAGAAGATCTGAGCTCAAATTTGGCCTCAGATATTTACTAGCTGTGTGACTTAACCACTGTCTGCCTCAGTTTCCCCATTTGTAAAATTGGGATAATAATAGTACCTACCTCCCTGGGTTCTTGTGAAGATCAAATGAGATAATATCTGTAAAGTACTTGTAACAGCGCTTAGAACATAGTAAACACCGCATAAATGTTAGTTATCATTATTAACATCATCATCATCATCATCATCATCATCATCATCATCATCATCATCATCATCATCACAATGGGAGAATTCCTCCCCTAATAGCCAGTTGCATGGTGATAAACCCCTGTGCATAGAGGTAAAGGGTCCTCAGGCAACAGGACCCCATCCAGGTGCCAGAACAAGCCCAGAAGTCAAGCACTGAGAGGACTCTGATGATCGAATATGAAAGTATTTGTAAAGCACTTAGCACAGTGCCTGGCACATAGTAGGTGCTTACCACTTTTAATTATGTTCATCTCTTTTTTGTTTTTCATGATGTATATTTTTGTGTTTAACTTGGAGGTATTTGAAGTGTTGGTTTTTGGGGGGCGGGGTTAGTTGCATGTCAATTCATTGATCTGTTCTTTCTCTCTTTTATTGATGTAAGCATTTAGAGATATACATTTTCCTCTAAATGCTGCTTTGGCTACAACCCACAAATTTTGTTACGTTGTCTCACTGTTGTCATTATCTTTAATGAAAGCATTGTTTCTATAATTATTTCTTTGACCCATCCATTGCGGGGAGATTGGGTTATTTAGTTTCCAATTAATTTTTAATCTATGTTTCCATGACCTTTTATTGAATGTAATTTTATTGCACTATGGCCGGTAAAAGATGCATTTGATGTTTCTGCTTTTCCGTGCTTCTTTGTGAGGTTTTTATGTCTTCATAGATGGTTAACTTTTGTGAAGGTGACATGCACAGCTAAGAAAAAGTCATATTCCTTTTTACTCCCATTCAGTATTCTCCAGAGGTCTAACATATGAACTTTTCTAAAATTCTATTCAGGTCCTTAACTTTGGCTTATTTATTTTTTGGTCCATAGGTCCCCTACTATTATAGTTTTATTGTCTATATCTTCTTGTAATTTATTGAACTTTCTTCTTTAAGAATTTAGATGATATGCCACTTGGTACATATGTGTTTAACATTGATATTAATTCATTGTCTATGGTACCTTTTAGCAAAATATCATTTTTAATTATGCTTATTTCTGCCTTTGACTTGTATAAGATCACAATTGCTTCTCCTGCCTATTTTACTTGAGCTCAAGTACAATAGATTCTGCTCTAACTCTTCATTTTAATTCTTCGTGTAGCTTTATGTTTCAAATGTCTCTCTTATAAACAAAATATTGTTAAATTTTGTTTCTAACTTCTAGTTTCTAATTCATTCTGCAATTCTCTTCCATTTTCTGGTTGAGTTCATCTCATTCACCTTCAATTATGATCGCTATGTATTTCCCTCCATCTTATTTTCTTACACTTCTCTCTTTTCTTCCTCGCCCCTCTTGAAGAGTCTTGTTTGTGTCCATCCAATGCCTCCCTTAATCTGCCCTCTTTATGCTCCACTTTTCCTTTAACCTCTTTCTCCTTCCTATTTCCTTGTTTGTTAAGATACATTTCTGTACCCCACTCTGTGTAGGCATATTCCTTCCTCCTTTAAACAGTTCAGGTGAGAGTGAGGTTCAAATATCAACTGCTCTTCCCCATTGCTTCCTCCTCCTTTTGCACTCCATGCATTTGAAATAATTTTCCCCATTCTTCCTCTACCTTCCCCCCTCTCCCAATCTATTCCTCTTTCCCATCCAGTCCATTCTTCTTTTCAGATCACCAAACACAACAGAATCATGCCCAGGCCTTCTGTCTAATTAGCCTCCCTCTCTGGCCCCTGGCAATGACAAAGTTCTGAGGGGCTGCATGTATTATTTCCTCATATAGTAATGGAAACAGTTTAATCTCATTCAATCCCTTATGATTTCTCACTCATGTTTAACTTTAATGTTTTTCTTCACTCCTGTGTTTGTATGTCAGATTTTCTACTTAACTTTGGTCTTTTCATCAGGAATGCTTCAAAGTCCTCTATTTCATTAAAAGCCTCCCTTTCCCCTGTAGGATTATATTCAGTTTTGCTTAGCAGGTGACTCTTGGATGTAAGCCTAGATCCTTTGTCTTCTGGAATATCATATTCCTCCCCTTTTAAGATATGGCTACTAAATCATGTGTTATTCTAGTTGTGTCTCCTTAGTACTCAAATTCTGTCTTTCTGGCTGCTTGCAGTATTTTTTCCTTGACCCCAAAGCTCTGAATTTTGACTGTACTATCTCCGAGAGTTTTCACTTTGGGTTTTCTTTCAGTAGGTTACTAGTAGATTCTTTCAATTTCTAGTTCTAAAGATATCTGTACACTTTTCTTGAAATATGATGTCTAGGTTCTTTTTTTGTTCACAGCTTTCAGGTAGCCCAATCATTCTTAAATAATCTCTCCTCAATCTGTTTTTCAGAGCAGTTGAATTTATTATGAGATGCTTCACAATTTCTTCTATATTTTCAGTCTTCTGACTTTGTTTTATTATTTCTTGTTGTCTCAATGGATCCTTAGCTTCCACTTGGCCAATTCTAATTTGCAAACAGTTATTTTCTTCAGTAAGGTTTTGTACCTCTTTTTCCAAGCTATTAATTCTTTTTGCATATCTTTCTTCCCTGGTTCCTGTCTCTTTTCCCATTCTTTCCTCTATTTCTCTCATTTGGTTTTTATAATCATTTTAACCATTTCTGTAACTCCTGTTTTAACTCTTCTAGAAATTTTTGTTGGACTTACAAGAAGTTGCATAATTGGAAAGATTTTTTTTCTTTTCTAATAGAATGCTAGAGCTAGAATGGTCTCCAAGGCAATCCAATCCAACTATCCCTGACTAAGAATCCCCTCTACAGCACCCCTAACAAGTGGTAAGCCAGCCTTTGCTCAAAAAACTCCATTGAGGGGTGCTCATTACCTCCCAAAACAGCATTCCACTTTCAGATGGTTCTCACTGTGAGGAAGTTTTTACTTACAAGTAAGCCTAGTTTGCCTCTTTGCAGCTTCAATTCATTGCTTCTAGTTCTGTTCTCTGAAAAAGACAGACTCTAAGACTCAAGATGAGCTAACATAACCCAAATTTTCAAAACAAAGAAGAGAGTATAAACTCCAACCTCTACAACATTAAAGATAACCTCAATTCAGGACATTATTTAGAATGTAGTATCAAAGGAGTGGATAGTGAGCAACCAGAAAAGGGATGAGAGTCAGAATGATTTCAGCAAGAACTGGCCATTCCAGACAAGTACCATTTCCATTTTTTTGACAGGGTTACTAGACTGTCAAATCAGGAGAATTTTGTAGGCACAGTATACCAGGATTTCAGCAAAGCATTTGACAAAGCTTTGATGCTATTCTTGAGGACAAGATAGATAGATGTCAGCTAGATGACAGTACAACCAGGTGCATTCAGCTCTAGTTGAATAACCAGATCCAAAGAGTTGTCATTAATGTTGACAATGTCGATTCAGAAAGAGGTATCCAGCAGAGTGCCCCAGATACATGACTTAGGACCTGCCCTGTTTAACATTTTAATCAATGATTTGATTGAAGACATAGATGGCAGACTTCTCACATCTGCAAATGACATGAAGCTGGAAAGGACAGTTAATACACCTGAGAGAGAAAGGCTTTTCTACCAATTTGAGCTGCCAAATGTGAAGTAGGCTGCCTTGGGGTGGGGACTGTGGCCAGATCGCAGGGAGGTATTGATTGCCACATGGAAGAGTTGGAATGTGATGTGATAGGTAGTAGGGAACTAGTGAAGATTCTTGGTGGTGTCTTTCCTCTCAAACTACCTTATGGTTAATTACTTTGCATTTGTTTGTATTTATTTTCTGGGTTTGTATGTTCCTCTGTTGTTTCACCAGCAGAGCTAAGTACCTTGTGCAAAGGGACTGTTTCAATCACTGTCTTGGTATTTCTAGCATGGAATACAGTGCCTGGCACCCAGTAGGTGCTCTGCAAATGCCGCTGATTAGTCAATACATTGTTATCTCTATACATAAGCTCATAGATCATTGATTCAAAGTGGACAGGGACTTTTCAAATCCAATTCCTTCATTTTACAGATGGAGAAAATATTCCCTGCTTTCTATAAGTATGGCATCTGAGCTGGCTAGAAAGTCAATTGGCCAGAGATAACTCTAATCAATTGCCCCACTAAGCTCACAGCACCACATAGTAACTACATGTATACATACATACATATATACTATATGTAATAGACATACATACATGTGTGTCTGTGTATACTATAGAGCAGTTGCCTCGCAGTGGGTCTAAGTCTTCTCTTCCCAATACCAGCATCACAAAGAGAAGGAGCCCACTGTCCTAGAGATAGTTAGGGAGCACCACAGTGCCTACATCATTTGTCCCGAAGTCAGGAAGACCTGAATTCAAATTCAGCCTCAGACACTTACCAACTGGGCAAATCATTAACCTCTGCTGCCTCAGTTTCCTCAAATGCAAAATGGGGATCATAATAGCACCTGCCTCCCAGGATTATTGTGAGAATCAAGTGAGGCAATATCTGTAAAGCATTTAGCGTAATACCTTGCACATAGCAGGCTCTTTGTCATTGATTATTCACTTCCCTTCGTATGTGGAGAAAGAAATCTTTCATTTCTACTCTGTTTGCAATGGTTTCTGATTAAAGCTTGAGAACTTACAGATTACCCACTTGGACTTCATCATTTTACAGATGAGTAAATTGAATTTCAGAAATGAGAAAGGACTTGCCCAAGGTCACAGAGGAAGTTGGTCAGAGTCAGAATGAAATTTCAAGATCTCCCTGAGATCTCTTTCAGAAGGAAGAGAGAACAGAAAGACCCAAAGGCTGAGCCCTGGGAGACGTCCACAGCTGAGTGGCTCCTGCCAAAGGCCAAAGGCTATAGTTGTGCCTGATGGCAAAAACTCTGGAACAAGACAGAGATGCTAAACTAAGGCTAGGAAGGCCATAATGAAACCTTTTTAGGTCCTCCTCTGTCCCTCCCCATGGCACTCCCAGCACACCTTGCACACATTGGGCTCTAGGTAACCAATCAGACATATACACCCTTGCAGAAGGTCTATCCTGCCCCACATCAGCACTCACCACTGTAATCTGCACCCCCACCTCCCACCATCACTTCCCAGGACCAGCTATTTGCCCAAAGGAGGCACAGATGGATACTGCCGAGCATATCCATTAGGCCAAAGGGCATTCCCTGGAGCATTTCTTAGCTATAAAAATGCAGCATATCTTTAAATAGTCATGTACTGTCATGAGCAGAGAAACACACATTAACTTTAATTGCAAACACTTTAGTTTCTGATAGTCATAATGAAAGGCTGATGGAAAAATCAACATGCTTAAGTAACCTTCTAAAACTTCCTCTCTGTTGGAACCACCTGTTCTTTTGATCCAAAGTCAGACTAAATGATGATCAGACTCCTCCCGCTGACACATCTGGTGAAATCCTAGGTGTGAGATCACAGAAGCACAGATTCCCTGAGCAGGAAGGGACCTCAGAGGCATTTGGTCCAACCTGTCCCTGGGTAAGAATCCCCTCAACAACATTCCTGAGCAGAGGCCTTGTCTAGCCCCTTCTTAAAGACCTCCAGTGACAGGGAGCTCATTACCTCCTGAAACAGCCCATTCTACTTTGTGATGGTGCTCATTGTTGGGAGGTTGCTTGTGTTTTCCCTTGACATCAAGCCAAACTCCATCTCTTTACAATGTCCACCCATCCCTCCTAGTTCTGCTTTCTGGTGCAAAGTAGGGCAAAGTAATTTTCTCTCCCAAGTGAAAGCCTTTCAAATACTTTAAGATAGCTCTCACATTACTCTGGAGCTTCCCTTCTTCAGGCTAAACATCCCCAGTGCCTTCAACTGATTCTCATATGACCTGGAATCAAGGCTTTTGCCCATCTTCATTCCCTACTTTATCAATATCTTTCCTAAGCTGGGACATGTAAGATTGTATACAATTAACCAGCTGTGGTCTGACCAGGACACAGGAGAATGAGACTATGACCTCTTTGATATTGGAATCTATGTCCCTCTTAATACAATTTACCATTTTTGTCTGACCCATCCCATTGCTGACTTGTATCGAGCTTGCAGGCCGCTCAGACCCTCAGATCTTTTCCACACAAACAAGCGTCTAACCATACCTCCTCCGTCATGCACTCAGCTAAGTTCATTTTTTGAACCAATGTATGTAAGTCTCCATCAATCTTCTCTTCACACATTTCATCTACCTACCCCATAGGATTGTTGTTTTGTTTTCTTTTGTTTTGTTTTTAGGCAAGTGGGGTTAAGTGACTTGCCCAGGGTCACACAGCTAGTAAGTGTCAAGTGTTTGGTCTGAGGCCAGATTTCAACTCAAGTCCTCCTAACTTCAGGGCCAGTGCTCTATCCACTGCACCACCTAGCTGCCCCTTCCATAGGGTTGTTTTAAGGAAACTGTTTTCACCCACCTTAAGGCACTCTGAAATATGAGTGGCTGTCATGGTCATCATCATCATCCTCAATGTTGTCCAATTAGATTCAGCCACAATTCTACCCTGGTGAGAATTCTGTGGCTCCTGAGTCTATCCTCAGCTTATCAGCAATCTCTTTCCACTTTGTGTCCTTGGTCATTGTGGTGAGCGAGCCACTTATTCTATTACCGATAAATAGCACAGGACTAATTACAGACCGGCAATACACTCCATCAGCGATACCCTGCCAAGCTACCAGGCAATTGTGAAGAAGAGCTTTGGGGTTCCGCCATGTAACCAGTCCTGATTCCATCTTCTAGTCCTTTCCAGTCTCTCTATCTTATCCACAAGAATAGTATGGGAGATACCGTTAAGTGTTTCTGGAAAATCGAGGCAAACTGTTGCTACGGCGTTCTCCCCAGTCTGCTTTAGAGGCCAAGGACAGAGGAACTTGGGAGGTTCTGCCTTCTCAAATACTTAGCCTGTTATTCCATTGTGTTAATGATCAGACTCCCCCACAGAAACCCAGATGGTTTGTGGCCCATCAGGAACCAGGCCCCACAAGGGCAGGGAGGTGACACTCCAGGTCAACATTCTCTTGCTGCGATTGTAAGACAAGGAGGTAGCCAGGTCAGGCTGCATTTCAATGGACAGAAACAATTGTGTAAAATCTGTCAATGTCTGTTTTTTGTCAGACCACTCGAAGATGGAGCCATCAAAATTATCCTTCTGATCAACCGCTGAGACCATGTTGGTAAGGATTAATGTATCCAAAGTGACCCAGTTCGTGAGGGAAGAAAGAGGGACCTTAAGATCCTTTAGCTGTAAAAATAAAGAAACATCCCAAGGTACATGACAGAAATGGCTTTCAGCAATTCCAGATTATTATGAGATGCTGTAAAGAGAATGATAAAGTGGGTCATGGCTAACACTGGGGACCAGAAATCTCCAATGACAAGATGCATCACTCGGAGAGCCCATTTGGTACAGCAGGGAAAGAGCTGGCTCTGGGGTCCAGTCCCTAGGCTGCCGTTTCTGACCCACGTGACCTTGGGCAAGTGCCTGAGCCTGAACTTCCTCTTTCCATAGAGGAAGGGTGGAATAGACCTTCTCAGGTCCCTTCTAGCTCTGAGTCGATGACAGAGCCACAGTGGGATGACAGTCCTTTTATGCATTTGGCCCATCATTCTTATGTCCTGTCCCCTACTAACCTGTAACCTCCATTAGCAATCAGACTACCTAGCACCCAAGTCCATAATCTTTCTGACTGCATAAAAGGTGCCACATAGGGGTAATTAGAGTAAATATTTGCTGACTCCTGAGAGAGAGCTTTCCTGGCAGCAAAGCTCCGGGCCCCAGTGGTTTATCTGGTTATTGGTATGTGTGCCACACACCGCCCCCCCACCACTGCACTAAGAGTTTACCTGCTTCCTAAAGGCTAGTATTGGGGCTCATTTCTTTGTCTCCACCCTATACCCTAGAATTAAGCAGTGCACATGTGTCTGTGGGAAAGTGGCTTTATTGGGAATCAGAAGACTTGGATCTGAATTTGGGTTCAGTGGGACCTTCTCCAGACTTCTTCAGTTTCCATCATCATTAAAATTTCTTCAAGACCCAAATCCTGGGAACTTAATAAATGCATATTGAATTGAATAGAATTTCCTGCACTCTCACAGGCTTGGTAAGTAGCCAAGAGTATCTCAGTAATGGAATTAATATCGTTAGCTGACTGCAAAATTAGCGCTATCTATTCCCTTGTAAGATTTGAGAATGGTGCACAGCACACAACCATCCCTTCCTGTTCCTTCCATGGCTGAAGTGATGAAATATTTCTAGAGTGATGAAGCCCAGAGGCTGACAAGCCTAAATTTCCCCAAGCATTTCCATTCTCCCTTTCTGATGCCCCAAATGATTCTGAATAGGGGTTTTAGGACATGTGGAACCTATATTAAAGATGCAGCCTGGGTGCCCTGAGTCAAGAAGAAATGGAGCTTTGAGATGGCTGAGAAGAGCAAAGGGATTTTGTCCAGCCTTCATTCCCTGGCTCAACTATGATAAACGCTACCAAGAACCTCAGACTTCACCAAAAACAAAATTATATATACATATATACATACACACACACACATATACACACGTATGTATGTGTGTGTATGTATTTACACATATATGTGTACACACATTTTTCATGTATATGTGCATGTATGCTAATACACACATATACATATATGCACGGGGGGGCAAGGGTGGATTTTGATCCATTCCAGTGGGAAAATGCTAAGATCACAGACCCCTCAAGACATCAAGGGTGTCCATAAAGGGTGGCCCCGTTCCTGAAGGAAACCAAGAGTGAGGAGCCACCTGTGACTTTGGAGCCCGATGTCAGTGATGATAGCCAGGGCCTCCCACAGCCTCCCTTGGGCATCTTGTCAAACAGGGCATGAGTGTAACCCACAGGCTGGCCAGAACCGGCCCCTCATGGATCTAGTTCCATGCTTGTGGAGGGCTTCTTCTGGTGGTACCCACTTGGCTCAAGCCCCCATCCCAGTGTGAAAGTGAGTGAGGGGCTTTAAAGTCAACTCATGCTGAACAATGATCATGCTAACACAATCCAAGGTGAACCCCAGCATAGCACTGGCAAAGCATGTAATTGTAACAGGAAAAAAATGAAAAGCCAGAGGTGAATAAATAAAATAAGCGAAAAGCCATACTCAGCAACCCTTCCTCAAATGAATATTTTCTCCTTCTCCTCTTGTCCAGCTTAAATCAAGCAGCGAGCTTTCCCTACTTAGGGCTTCCACCTACAAACCAGTTGAAATCACAGAATGCCTTGACAGCCTTAAGTAGCCATTACTTAGAGCTCTTGGTCTCCTCAGCTGCTACATGACCTTGGCAGACCTTCACAATTTTCTAAGATTGGTTAGCTCACCCACTCAGAGTTTGGCTGGCAGCCTGTTCTTTGACTTCTGCCTTGACTCTCTCCGATCAAACAGGACTGAAAGCCCCAAACAAACCCCCATGCCCCCTCCTCTACTTCCTTATCCCCCAACCTCTTTGCTGTGGCAATATTCTGTCCTTGCCCACATGGCATCCAGAGCTTCACCCGCCTGACGCCTTGGGGCCTGGGGATTCATGAGAAATGTATTTCCTAATCAGACAGTGGTGTTCATTGCACAGCACACCAGGAAGTATGGTTCTTTCCTCAACTGACCCCAGTTCCATGAGAGGACAGCCAACCCCTTCCCAGAAGAGAGGAGTGCCAGACAAAGACTATTATTCAGGACACTATTGTTAACACTTTCTCCTTGAAAAGCACCCTTCATCATATCCCATTGTTTGAACAGGAAGCAGCATTGTGTGTAGAGGGAGGTACCGAATGGGGGGCTTTCAAATGGTGCAAACAATGCTCAATCGCTCCTGTTGAGAATAATCAAGAGACTTGTTTGCTGCCACAAAGGGATCATTGCGAACCAGCCCCAAGAACTCGCAGAGCAGCTTCTGCATCTGAGAGGCACGTGGAGGGGAGGGGAGGTTGGAATGCCCACTCACCCAGAATAGCCCCTTGCCACCTGCGTCAGTGGTATTTCTTCAACTCTAAGCATAATTCATTCATTCTCACCGTAGTGAAGTAGGTATGCTCTCTTGTCAGCCCAAGCTTCTGTTGGATTTCTAGAGTTGGAGGCTGTAAGCAAAATCTGCTTCTTGGGCAGAACGCTCCCCACTAATGCCCAAATCAACAGAAAAGTTGAGAATTGGACAAATTCAATTTCAGCCCTTGTGCATGTGCCCAGCATTCTGCCAGGTGCAGGACATGGGGGAGGGAGCAGATTGAAGAAGGGCAGAAGAGAGGAAAAAGCATTTCTTAGCAAACAAAATAAGGCCCCATCAGATCCACCCTTACCCTAGCACTCCGCAACAGAAACCCTTGTCACACTGAGCCCCTCCCCCAGATCTGCATTTGGCTAATCCCAGTTTTCTGTTGGGCTGAAGTGCTCTTCCGCTGTGTGTCCACAGAGTGGGGGGCAAATGCCTCTTCCCTGGCATCCAAACCTGAAATCCTGGTCCCTAAACCCAAGAAGATACTGGCAATTAGTCTGTGCTGCTTTCGCTTTCCAGTTCCCAGGCTTGCCCCATCAGCTGTCCAATAAGATTCAGATGTGGTTATGCCTGAGTGCATGGGAATGTGCACACATGAGCACACACATAGGTACACACACCTGAAATCTGTCTTAGCAACTTGGCAACTGGATTCAAGCTTCAAAAGCAAGTTTGAAACTCTTCTCTGATGTTTAAAGCTCTTTGTGATCCAAGTCCAGCACAATACTCCCATTTAACATACTCCTCTGTCCAGACAAATGGACCTTTCTGCTCTTCCTCACACACAAGACTCCAGTCCATCCTCCCTTCAGCTGCCAAACTGATCTTCTTAAAGTACAGATCCGATCATGGCACTCCCCTGGTCTATAAACCCCAGTGGCTCCCTATAGAATCTTCCATTTGGTGTAACCTGCATAATGACTTTCCAGTCTTTTTACACCCTAAACTTTTCCACATCCTCTTCCATCCTATGACACCAGCCTCCTGGCCAGTCCTTGAACAAGACCCTTCATCTCTCGGCTCTGGGCGTTTTTCTCTGGCTGCCCATCACGTCTGGAAGGTTCTCCTTTCTCATCTCTGCCCACTACCTTTCTTGGCTTCTTTGGAATCTCATCTAAAACTCTATCTTCTGCAAAAAGCCCTTCCTGATCCCCCTCTTTAGTTCCAGAGCCTTCTTTCTATACTGTCTCTGCTTTTTCCATACATATCTCATTTGTACAAGGTTGTTTGATTATTGTCTCTCCCATTAGACTGTGAGCTCCATGAAAGAAGGGAATGTCTTTTGCCTTTGTCTTTGTATCCCCAGCTCTTAGCACAGGGCATGGTATATAGTAGGCACTTTATAAATGTTTATTGCCTGATTGACTGATTCTCCATCTCCCATCTGCATGCCTTTGCACAGCTGTCTGCCTGGAATGCACACCATCCCTGAGGCCACCTTTTAATAGTCTAGTTGTCCTTCAAAGCTCAGCCCAAGTACTATGTTGGACTATGTTGGAGGCCTTTTCTCATCCCCAGACACCACCCTAATTCCATTGCATTGACTTTGTACATATCCTCCAGGTACTTCACAGAATTGGAGATTTGGAAGGCATCTCGGCAGGATCTCATCCTTGAACATGCCTGATAAATACTTGTACACCTGTGCTTGAAGACCTCCTTCCTAGGCAGCCTAACCCCTGGGTACAGCTCAGTTAAATTTCTGTTGTGTATTCCCGGAACCTAGCCCAATGCCCAGCCCAAACACAGAAGGCACTTAATAAATGCTGGTTGGTTGATGGACTGACTGATCTCATTAGAAGAAGGTGAACTCTCTGAGGGCCAGGATGGTTCATTTGGGTCTTTCTATCCCCAGAACTGAGCACAGTTCTTGGTCCATAGCAGGCTGGTTGGTTGATAGATTTCTTCCACACTCTCTGCATCACAGAATACATATGCCTCAGATTACAGACAGTGTCCAAAAATGAAGAACAATCTAAAATGTCATTGAGACCCCTTTCTTTCCAAGTAGATATCTGGGGCTCATTAAAAACTATTAACTGGGCAGCTAGGTGGATAGCACACCCACCCTGGAGTCAGGAGGACCTGAGTTCAAATCCAGCCTCAGACCCATAACACTCACTAGCTGTGTGACACTGGGCAAGTCATTTAACCCCAATTGCCTCACCAAAAACAAAAAATAGAAAGAAAGAAAGAAAGAAAGAAAGAAAGAAAGAAAGAAAGAAAGAAAGAAAGAAAGAAAGAAAGAAAGAAAGAAAGAAAGAAAGAAAGAAAGAAAGAAAGAAAGAAAGAAAGAAAGAAAGAAAGAAAAACAAGAAACAAAACTATGAACCTAAGGATGGATGGGTGGATGGGTGGGTGGATAAGAAGCACAGCTTAAGTATGCTGCTGACTAGTTCTTCCCTGGATCCCAACTATTCCCTAGACTTCAGTCTAGGGAGTAAAACTTTATTCCTATAATCTTTAAGATGGAATCCAAAGGTTTGATGAAGCCACTCCTGAAATTGAGGAAGTGTGCAAAAAGTTGCTATCCCCCCACCCCCCAGACTCATTTCACCCAAAGATCTTTAAGCACCAGTGACAGAGCCCAGGCCACTCACACCCATGCTTGTGGGGGAGCTGAGTGTGCTGTCACAGCAGCGATGAGCCTACAGTGGGCAGGCACCTCGTGAGCTGGACAGCTGTCTTGAGGGAATTGGGGGGGGGGGACTCATTATTCTTTAAAGCCAGGCCTGGACATTCCTGGTCATGCTGGGACTGTCGCTTCATTGTCTGCACTTTCAGTGTCTGACAGGAAGCATTTGGGTGCTTGTGCCAGGTTACTAACAATTATTTCCCTTTACTGAGACTGAATTCTCTTTTGTTTTGCTGGGTTGAAGTTGTTGGCCTCTGGGTTTACAACACTGGAGAGGAAAGTCAAGCACCCTCAATTAGTACTTTACACCTCATGACAGAGGGGGGCAGAGGGGGCCAGAGGGGCTGGGTCAGCAAACTAAAGTTGGGTGGGAAGGGAGGAGAGAAGATCTGGGAACTGTCCCCATGGAATTCCTCCAGGCTCCCCAACCGTGATGAGGTGTCTCAGTGGCCCTAAGTACCAATGTCCTCATTGATCATTGTCCTTGGACCAAAGAGTTTAGAACCAATCTTCTCATTTTACATATGAGTAAACTGAGGCCTGAGAGGTAGAAGGGATTGTCCAGGGTCCTTTAGGAAGCATGTTACAAGCTGGGACCCCAATCCAGGTCCTGGCCCCAAAGCTAGCATTTCTTCTACTGCACCAGGACCACAGCATCACCAGATCTCCAACCTGGCAGAGACTTCAGAAGCGAGATTGAGTCCAACCCAGATCTGGGCAGGAAGTTTCTCTATGACACAGCTTAAAAGTACAATCCAGCCTCTTCTTGGGGCCTCCAGGCAGGGGCAGTCCACTGCAGTCTTCCCAACTACACTTGTTACTCTTCAAGAGGACACCCCAAATCTTCCCTTTCTTTTATACTCAGTGTGACCCTGGAGGTCACCACCCCTCATGCATGTTGCCTCCCCCATTAGAATGTGAACTCTCCAAGGTCAGGGATCTCTTTGCTCTTGTGTGTGCATCACCAGCCCTTTGTTTAGTGTTTGGCACATGTAAGAGCATTTGCTCTTCATTCATCCCCACCCCCAGCACCAAGGACAGGATTTGGGTACAGAGTAGGCACTCAATAAAACCTCCTAGACTCATATAGTGCCATGAGCATAATAGGTATTTCATAATTTTTATTCACTGAATAGACTAGCATCCCAATACCCCACACCTGGAAGGTCCCACTGAGAAAGTTTAATCCCAGCCTGTATCTGAGCCGGAATGCACAGCTGATAATTACTGTGTATGTTTAAGCAACGCAGAATACCAATTCACATCTTATCATCAGGAAATAAAACTCCATCGCCTGCGTTGGTGTGAAAGTGCATTTGTCCCAGATGGCCTGATTTTCTGGTATTTGAAATCTGACCCACAAGCCCTGCTTTTCAATTCCGGTCCCAGCTGAGAGATCTGTGCATCTGGGCGGACACCTGGGTCACAGGTTCCCCATTAGTCTTTCTGGAATTTTCATCATAAAATTGCCACAAAAACATTGAATCTGCCTGGGGCAAAAGGTTAACAATACTGTGTCCAGAGAAAGCCAGCCAAAGAAAGGCCGGGGACGTGCCCAAGGACAGACACACCAGCACGGGCACTCACGAAATGCCTGTTGTCAGTCAGAGTCTTGAGATCTCTAGAGTACTGGCTTCAGAAAAGATAGGAGAAGCAGGAGGATGTTAATTAAGAAAGCCCTATCCCTCCTACATTTGCTTGTTAGAGGCCACCTTGTGCCAAGCAACGACCACCAGGTGGATGAGCATGGAGGATGATAGCTGGAAGGCACCCAGGACATGTGGGTAGACAGGTGTAGACTGCTCAGTGTAGATAGGGAGGCTGGGGCCTTTCTGTCTGGAGCTTATGGACTTCATCAGCATTCATGGATTCTGGGACAACCCAAAATGTTCCCCACCCCCCCCCAAAAGGTACTTTGGGACCGTAATTATCATTTAAATGAATCAGAATTTATTTGGTGACATCCTTTGACAGGGTCAGCACAATGTGAAGGAACACAAGCATGATTTATTGAAACGTGCCCTGAATTTGGAATTAGAAGACCTGGGTTTGAATCTTGGATTTGCTAATTACTAGCTGTGTTGATGAGGGCCATTTAGTTGGGTGGGATGAGGTCCTCACCCAACAAGCTTTCATCAAGTGTCTTCTAGTCCAAGTCACTTGCTGGGTGTTGGTATAAAGACAAACTGAAGAACTTTTCCTTCCCTCAAGGAGCATGCACAACACTGGAAGGATGCATAGAACAGTTCAACCATCAGGTGGTGCTGTTGGCACCCAACCTGATCCCATTCAGCTGGGCAAGTCCTATACTTTTGCTCTGGTGGTTATAGCACTTTACCCCCATTGAGCTAATGTGCTGGAGAAGTACCCTCTGTATGATTCCCTGAGCAGATTCTTCAATGCCCACTCTTCATTTCTCCCTGGATGGTTGTATGAACTTCTAAATCTAGAGGATGAGGCTAGTATGGATTTCTTCATCCAATCAAAATCAACTCCAAGAACCCATCCCACCAACAAAATCCTTCTTCTTCTGTAAAATGGAGATAATAGTAGCACCTACTGTGAGAAAGCATAGATACATAAAGCACTTTGCAAACCTTTACTTAGTGTAGACATGATAGCTTTATGACCCTCATCCAACAGATGCAGACACTGAGAGTCAGAGAGGTTGATTATCCCCTTGAGGAAGTGGTGGAGCTGACATATAAAACAGCCCTCTGCCCAGCCCAACACACCCTGCCACCTCTCCACCAGCCTCTTCAATTGCCCAGGCTTACTGCCTGGCTTCCACTAAAATCTCTTCCCTACTCATAGTGACTCCCAGACACTCATCACCATATTCCCATGGGCCCTCCCTGTTTGCTCCATAGCATTCTGCCCACAGAGGCAGATAGCCCCCCCATAGCATCCCTCAGAGTTTGGTCATACTCATTTTACAGACCAGGAAACTGAGGTTCCCAGCAGTAAAGTGACCTGTCCAAGATCACACAGCCAGCAAGGGCCAGGGCCTGGAGCAAATCCCAGGCCACCCAACTCCTAGGCCAGGGTTTCTTCCACAAGGCTATGCCGAATCACCAAAAACACAGGGGTGGGGGGGTCACAGACAGCTTGAACCCTCAGACTTCCACTGCTCTCCATTGGTCTGTCCTCCCTTTCTTGGGAGGCAATGGACAGAACATAGGACTGCCACAGGACAGACAGTCATAGGAACGCAGATGGACTGTTGGGTTTGTAAAGATGGAGGAGACCCAAGTGATGGCCCTAACCTAGGCATCCCTTCTGGGCCAACCGTTGCTGCCCCATCTGTCTCCTCCCCTCCAAAAGCATGAGACTCCCTGGAAGTCTCCCTCTCGACCCCAAGCCCACAGTCTGGCTTCTCTCATCTGCCCTGGCTTTCCTCTCTTCCTGGTGAAGGCAGTGTCTGCCTCATGGGACATCAGCTCCTAGGGCAAGGGAATGTTTTGTCTTGTTATGTTTCATTTTTCACAGCGCTTGGCACACAATATGGTACTAATAAATGTTTTTTAATTGAATTGAATTGAATTGAAAGAGTGAATAGGAATTCAAAAAAGCTAAGAGGGGAGGGAGGCCATTCTGGGCAAAGAGAGTTCCAGGTAAAAACATGGAGTTGGAGAGTTGAGAGTGCTCAGGGGAAGGGTGGCCACATTTGGTTGGAGTCCAGGCCACTTTCAGGGAGTAAGAGGGGCTAAGACAGAAAGGATAAGAGGACATCAGCTGTGGAGGGCTTTGAAAGCCAAATAAAAGTGTGAACTTTACGTGAAGACAATTGGGAGCCATTGAATATCTTTGAATAAAGGAGTAATGTGACCAGATCCACAAGTAGGAAAGATGATATCAGTGGGAGAATGGTTACCAGGGGAAGAGTAGGGGTGAGGGGGCTGGTGCAGGGGGCTTAGTGAGGAGGCAGTGAGGAATGTCCTGGGGTGGCAGCTGTTTTAGAGGCAGGGACAGATATGAGTGATACTAAGCAGGTGAAAATGAGAAGATATGGCACCCCGACTGATGGGATCTGATAGGTGAGGAAGAGAATGAGCCCCAGCAGAGTCCTGGGGCTTCCCCCTGGCCTCTCAAAGGGAGATCCCATTAGCAAAGGG